TTTTATACTTTTGTTCTTCTATCAATTTATTGAACTTATTAAATTGATATATGTAGAAGTCTTCTTTTATATTCATTATGCCTCCTTTTTTAGCTTTTTCAAAAGCTATAACAAAACTTTGGACATAGGTGTTTTGGGTTATATCGGCATACTTTAACATAAGGAACACCCTCCCGAAGTTTGGCACATTCCTCCTGGGACACCTGTATATAGACAGTAGAATCACTGAAATAGTAAAATACCCATAATATATTTGCAGAACCTCATCAAGATAGACAGGCAGCACAAAATCTGCCCCATACAAGAAGGACGATAGGACGACGGACACGAACCTACATGGTTTAAAAATTTTAATTATTGACAACACTGGTTTTTAAATAATATCTAGAAAATTTTAAAAACTTTACAATACCAGGAAGCTGCTGTGATTGTGAAATGTTCTACTCTATGCGTACTGTGCATTGTAGCATATAAATGAAGGTAATTTAAATCAAACAATTTTGTGATGGTAGTTTCCAACTTGTAATGATGTTTACTTCTGAAGATTGTCCGTAAGGACCGAAACATGTAAGGGAGATAAGTTTTCTTGCAGTAAAAACTTATAGGTCACACTGGACGGCGTGGTTTGTATTTGTTACTGTATTTTTAATCGTTTACAGTTAAATACATGAAACAACCTAAGAACAGCATGGAAACTCATAAGTTTACCTAGAGATATTTGTTATGCACTCCATTAGTTACTCTACAAACACAAACATGACATCTGAATTCTTCCCATGTATGCTGCAAATGTGATTCATTGACATTGGCTATGGCCTCTGAAATTTACTCTTGAAGGGACTGCAGCATCAGCGGTTGGTATTGATGGACTTCCAGATATCCCCACATGTAGAAGCCCCACCTAGAGCAGGTTTCCCTCCAAGAAGTCCCTCACAGCCACATGGAAATGAGGCAGAGCTCCCTCCTGTTGGAAACAGGAGTTTGCCTGGGAAATTTTCCTTTTACTGGGGCTGAAACCATTGTTCCAGTATATCTAGGTATGTTTTATAACTGAAAGTAGCTTCTGCAAAGAAGAAGGGGCCATGCACTTTTGTCTTTGACACAGGAAAGAACATGGTTACTTTTGGTAAGTCGCAGATGACTTGAACTATGATGTGTGACTGCTCAGTTCCCCAGAGGTGAATATTCCTCTTGTTCACTTTTCCAGCAAGATGAAAGGTAGTCACCAACTGCCTCATCAACTTCACAGTACACCAGACAGTTGCTGTGCAACTTGGAGATGATATGGTTCCTGCACGATATGAGATATGAAGTTCCTTACTGGCTTGTACAGTTCACTTTTGTGGCCTTCTCATGGAAGCTTCATGAACATGAGCAACAGTGTCCCTGCTAATGTGGAGCTGGCCAGTGCTTTTACTCCTACAGGGACACCCTTCATTTACAGACTTCCTTTACCATAAGAAGGCTTTAGGCAGTTCATTACCATACATCATTTTCAAGCATCACTGAACTCTTCTTGCCAATCCCCTCTTGTGTGACCACAAGCAACAATGTGTCTTCTGCACTTGAGATGTTAATGTTACTTTCTTATACTGATCAGAATGCCACCTGTAACTGATACGTTAAAAAATAAGGTTGCCAATACAAATTTGCTGTTTTCAAGTTGTTTCATGTTTGTATTGTAACTATTTTGCAAATATACTAATTTCTACATTTATAATAGCCCTGTATTATCCTCCTTCATATTTTCTGACTAAAATCTTACACTTGTTTTTCATCCCTCATGCATGCATGCATGCATGCATGCATGCGCGGTTTAGATTTATATTGCCCTCAGACAAATTTAACAGTTCATCAGAAGGGCCCTTATTGCTATGGAATTAAACTTTTTCATTGTCTCCCATTAAAAATAAAGTAGTACATGATAATAAGGTATTTAGAGTGGCCTTAAACGCCTTTTTACATTCAAAATCCTTTTATACTTTGGATGAATATTTTGGTTGTATAAATGAGTAGTAATTTACTATGTTCATTCAATATTGCATGCATTGTTTGGATGTGCAGTTGTACATTCAAGGATATTGCACTGATACCTGCATTGTATATAGCAAGCTTATACCTTGACTGGTTTTATTTGGTATTGAACATGTAAGATATAATCTCCAACTTGACTGGTATGCCATGTAACAAACATACCTCATTATAGTTGATGGATGTTGTGATCTTTTATGGTTTGAGATATATAAGCTACTAAGTTGAATGAATTTATTATGTAATGTGTTTTTATTACAATTTTAATTTATTTTATTTACAATTAACCCGTTGCCGTGGTTTGACGTGTATGTTTCGTCAGGTATTTAAATCGTCTGGGGGGGTTCGACGTGTATGTTTCGTCCAGCTGCACACGTATGTTATAACGCCCATAATAATTGATGGTTTTGCTGTAGATTGTTAGATTTTTCACTGGCCTGTTGTCAGGAGGACTGTATTTAATGACACACGCGTTTAAGAGCGCTAAGTCGTCGTTACATATGCCTGTCTTGCAGCAACGTTCCTGTGGCTATTGCGAGCTGTTTCTGTTATGAATGATGTGTTTTGTTTGCTCTGAAGCTATAAACAGCAGAGACTGATATGTGCTGGTGTTTATAATATCATATTGCCCTGAGCTGGCTATTCAATTGGAATTCTTAGAAGAGGGATGTACAAAAGTTTATGCCTGCAAAATCGATTGCTTTCGCACAGTACATAGCACCCATTTCTTAGAAAAACGCCACAATTTAAGGCAGAACACTGTGGTCACCCCCTGAGACGATACGGATGTGTGTGGGGGAGGGAAAAGAACTCATTCCTTCGCTCATTATCGCTCCAGTTGACTCCATTTTATCGTACTGACCTTGGTGGTCGTTTCGAGGGATGACCATAAATATTTTTTTGAGCCAGCTAAGCTCTACTTTCGTTCACTACATACCAGACAGTTCTTAGAATAACTTCATGAATTCTGTGGTCACCCCTACGACATCTCCTGCCGCCAAAATGGATGGAATATCAAAGGCATAGCAACAACCCCTTGTTATGATAACTCGTAACGTTGAATTTACTACAGCTGACCTGGCAACTAAACGGGTCACGGAAAGACATTTCCTTGAAGTATACCCCTCACGGGTAAGAAGGCAAGGCCGCACATATGTGTGGTTAAAAAAAAGGGCCAAAAAAAATACACAATATTGGAGCGGAGAATGGTGAACGTGGGGCACCGTTGGGTTATACGAATGCTTCAAGGCCTTCCTTCTACTAAACCAACTGCCTCCATTACCGAGATACAGGGCGCTCATATTATAAGGTAAGGTTATAAAAACCATCTTTTAAGATCATTTTAGTGAAAGTTTCATCCTTCAAGGCGTACCATTCACTGCTCAAATACTAAACAACCTACTACCATTGCCGAAATACAGGGCGCTCATATTATAAGGTAAGTTATAAAACCACCTTTTAAGATCATTTTAGTGAAAGTTTCATGTTCCTATCTCATAGAATTTAAGAACAATGATGAATAAATCATTTTCGAGCAAAATTTAAATGGCCGGCTGAATATATTACCGCCGGAGACGCGGCCGCGGAATTTAAATGACTGCGCCAAAGGGTTAAACATGGTATAGTGTTATGTATATTTTATGTTGACTAGTTCCATTGTTGGAGCATTTGTTGAAGATATTTGACTTGTTCTGTGTCCAGTGGTGTTGGCCTGTAATTGGATTTGCTTGAATGCAATAAATACTATACTATACTATATTATCTCATCTTCCTTGATTTTAGCACCGTTTCATACATATGTCTATATTTTAAATGAAAAACAGCAATATACACTTACTTCAATCTGTGATGTGTGAGAAGCATAGTATTTCAATGCCTGGTTCATTTTTGGGTCACTGTTATTATCAGAAGGTTTAAGAAGAGCTGCCAACTCTTTGTTATGTTGAGCCAGCTGATGACACAAGATGTAGATGTTGTGTCCCACCTGCCACAAACAATATGGGTACAGAATTTTGTCTGCTTCAGCCCAGAATGTAAATCATGTTATTCTGACTTTGAGTAAAATGATTACTGCAGGAATTTCAATGGTTTGTACAGAGAACAAGGACACCAATGTGACAAACATAAAGGACCTGGTCTTGTATTATGAATTGGAAACAAATATAATGTGACTCATATTTCAGGTTTCTTCAGGTACTAGTGGATTTGGACACTGAATTGAGAAAAATCTTAAATGGAGGTAATTTAATGATGAGTTCACTGACTTGGGATCATTACAACTGAATATTAAATGAGGGAGAACCTTAAATTAAAGGACATTAAATGGGTGTTCTACTGTAAATAACTGTACCTCTTTGGGTGATACACCATCTTCTCCTTCTGCAGAGGCATCGTCTCCATCATCATCATCATCATCCAGAGTCTCTTGATGAAAAGCCCGACACGCAACATCTACCTGTAAGATAAAATTCTGAACATTTAAATAGAAGTACAAATTTCCAGCAATCTATTTTTCACTTTCCCATCATGGCTATACAGTAAACCCTCGCCCAGGATGGGGATGCAGCATTACATAAATGTGCTGGAGAAGCTTAACATCTTACAAAAAGTCTCACATTAAAACTAAATATGTAGATTCTTACACACGCATGAATAGTCCTATTGCGGTGCTTTAAGTTATTAAAAGTCTCAGCATCTACACCTTGGATTGCACGTATGTACACATGGCATAAGCCTCAAATGTTTGGTAACTCCTTGGTCCATGGGTTATGGGACTGATGTGGTGTTACGAGGTGAAACCATTACACCAATTGAATTGCAGAGTTTCTGGGTCATGGCCACATGCAGATTGCTTATATTTAAACTTTCCATTCAAGGCAAATAATTTTTCATATTTTGGTTTGTGTGTATAAGCAAATCCACACCAGACAAGGGTTTACTAGTTCTGCCTCTGACAGAATGTGTTAATTTCTGGATTATTTCAAATGACAAAATAAAATGAAATTAATGAGATCTAAGGTCCTCACAGAGATAAATATTAAGATGGCAGTACCTATTTACCAAACTGTAATAAACCAGAAGAAAATATGGAACTGCATTTAATATTTTGCCATTTAAGATATTCATTCATCTCCAGATAAACTTCTATGGTCCCAACCAAAATGATATAAGAGCTACATTTCTCATATGCTAATATTTTCCTCAATTTAGTGTTCAAATGCATTACCAGGAAAAGGATGAATACATTTCTTTTCAAGTGATCCATCACTCACCAGTTGTTTAGGATTCATGTTGTACAGAATCCTTTCGGCATTCTCGCTGTCTCCTCGGCTTTCCATAATTGCTAGCAACAACTTTGATGCATTGTTCTTCAGCTCCAATACTAGGTCCATCCGGGTTTTGCCAAGAGGGTTGATATCATTCAAAATGAGGGCAGTGATTATGTCCAGTCCATTGGATTCATGTGTTGCTATGCAGTTCTGGTTATCATGACAAGGGCCTTGACAATATTCGGTTAAAGTTTCCAGAGTCTGGTTGATCAAAGCTACATTGTTCTCATTAATGTACAATCCAAGAAGACCCAAGCCTCCTGTAGTTGAGCCACAGATGCAGTCCAGAAACATCAGTGTTTCTGATACTAGATTGTGATTGGTTTTGTTGTTCTGGTTACGAAGTAAATTCTGAAAAATTTGAGAACATTTCCATGTCTTACTGTACTCTCTCTTTTGGAAGGCTTTTGATACCATAGTTATCCCACAGAGCTCTACTTTCCACAGGTCCAACTGCTGTCTGCTACCAACATACTAGATTATAGCCATGAGAAGATTACATGCCAAGTGTTATAGCTTTGCCCTTTATATATTTTAATATCTCTACTACTCTCCACATGAACCGCAGACGGCAGAGTTTTATATTTTATACAACAAAGTCTCTTCTTAGACACATGCGAGTCTCAAAATCAAGAAAAATCTTGAACTTGATTCAAACACTGATTTTTCAGGATCAAGTGCCCATGCCAGAACATACACAAGCCAACTATCAGAACTGTAATGGTTAGCAATTCTAGTACAAATTAACTTGTCAACAAAACTTGTTCTTCCATCCCTCTTTCTGCCCATGGTGAAAAGAACATGGCCCTTGCATCTTCTTAGATATAATTATTTATGAAAATATTTTACCAAAAGAGGATATATCAGAAGTATAAGTAGCACACTTCAGTTCATTATATGAAAAAAAGGCTTGCGTTATAAATTGTGATTAGAGAGAAAACTGGTTTAGTAGAGAAAATTTTGTTCCTGTCTCAATTCTAGAAAAATTTTAAAATCATCATATGAAACTTCAGTAATTCTTGCATATACTATTTTTTTTAAATTATGTTGGTGCAAATTTATTTATTTATTTATTTATTTATTTACATTTATACATTCCGTTGATCCTTATGGTACAGCTGACCAGTGGATATGGATTTTGTCCCAAGCTAATAGATTAAAATACGCAAAATACAAAAACTACATACATACTTTTGTCATTAAGACAGTTAAAAGATTTATATTAAAGTACAATGCATAAAATGATCAAAATTATAAAACAATAATTGATACAAAATACTTAGGTAATGATATAAAATTATAACATATCAGGGGTACAATTACCAATTTTAATTACATACATGGTTAAAATATTCCTCTAAGGAATAAAAAGAATTTGAAAGAAAAAATCTTTTTAGCCTCAATTTAAATAGTTTCACATCATTACTCATACTCTTGATTCTGGATGGCAGGTGGTTATAAGCCTTAATACCAAAATAATATGGTCCTTTCTGAAAGATTGTTAGGCGTGATGTGGGAAGGTGCAAATTTGTGGTATGTCTAGTATTGAGATTGTGGGTCTCATAGTTTGAACTGTATAGGTCTCTATTATTTACAACAAACAGAATTATAGAGTATGCATACTGTGAGTACATTGGTAATATTTTTAGGTTTTTGAATAGTTCCCTACATGAGTCTCTAGTTCTTACATTCATAATAGTTCTAATGATCCGCTTTTGCATTCTGAAAACATTTATACTAGTTGCTGAGCTACCCCAGAAAATTATCCCATATTCCATGATAGTATGCACATAGGCAAAGTAGATCATCCTTAGGGTTTCCTGTGACATGAGACCTCTTACAGTTCTAATTGCATAGCAAGCTGCACTCATTTTAATTACTAATTTATCAATATGAGACTTCCATGATAATGTTTCATCAATATAAATACCTAGAAACTTAATATTTGGCACATTAGTGATATTCTTATTTTGATGATATATGCTTATGTCTGTTACCAAACTATTTTTAGTCCTGAACAGGAGATGGTGGGTTTTATTAAAATTTAAGGATAGCAGGTTAGCTTCAAACCATTTGTTTATGGCTAAGAATTGTTTATTCATATTAATTTCCAAATTATGAGGGCTCGAATCGGATATTATGATACTAGTATCGTCAGCGAATAAAATAATCTTCGCATTATTTGTTATTACTTTGGGTAAGTCATTAATATACAATAAGAAAAATAAAGGACCTAATATAGAGCCTTGTGGGACACCATATTTGATGATCTCCCAATCAGAAAAGGTGGTATTATAGGTTGTCCTATTATTTAATACTACCTTTTGGTATCTATTGTTCAAATAAGACTTGATTAATTTTTTAAATACTCCATTTATCCCATAGTATCCCAGTTTATTTAAAAATATTTCGTGGTTAACACAGTCAAATGCTTTCTTCAGGTCACAGAATATGCCCCCAATAGTTAATTTATTGTTCATGGCTACTAAAATTTCATTTAATAATTTAAAAGAGGCCCTATTTGTTGTAGAGTTTTTTCTAAATCCATATTGATCACTAGCAAGTATCTTATTTTGTATTAGATGCTGGTTAAGCCTTGAATATATTACCTTTTCAAATACCTTAGAGAAAGCCGGTAACAAAGATATTGGTCTATAGTTAGAGATGTTAAGTTTATCCCCACTTTTAAATACTGGTTTTACTATTGAAAATTTCAGTCTAGTTGGGTAAATTCCTGAAGAAAGAGATTTATTTACAATATATGTTAGCGGAGAACTAATAAATAGGGCACTAGCTTTCAATATTGCGACAGGTATCTCATCATAACCATGGGAGTATTTGGCTTTTAAGGATTTGATGATTCCTTCTATCTCATGGGTAGAGGCATGCTTAGGTCGAATATTTGACAGCGGACTCGTGAACATTGAGGACATATAATTTAAATAGTTATCATGCATAGGCTGTCCAGTTTTACTAATACTTGTATTATCAATAATATCCTCAGCAACTGTTACAAAATAATCATTAAGATTTTTTGCCATGATTTGTTGGTCGGAAGTTATAATACCCTTAATATCAAGGGATTGAATGTCTACTTTATCTTCTTTTTTCCCAGTTTCAGTTTTGATTATGTTCCAAATAGTTTTTGATTTATTTTTAGAGTCTATAATCCTCCTGTCGTAGTGAATTTTTTTAGCCGCTTTGATGACATTAGTTAGAATTTTACAGTATTGTTTGTAATGTTCTTTTAATTTAATATCATTACTAGTCCTACACTGTAAATAAAGATTTCTTTTGTTTCTACATGAAATACGTATTCCTGTAGTTAACCATTCATGAACATTTGGTTTGCTCTTTATTTTTCTTCTCGTAAAACTGGAGTAGAAAATCCTAAGATAGGTATTGAGAAAATTATTAAACATTATATTTACATCAGTTGCTTCAAAAATATCTTCCCACATCTCAAAGCTCAGTTTGAGCTTAAAATTAGCTATAGAGTGTTTATTGAAATTCCTTATGATTTGGGTGGTATTATTTAATCCTTGTATATTAAGATTTTTAAACTTAATAATTTGGGCGTCATGGTCCGATAGGCCGTTAATATGGGGATATACATTATAATTATTGTTTTTAGACACATCTAAAAAAATATTGTCAATGGCCGTTGCTACTTCATTCTGCACTCTAGTTGGAAAATTTACAACACTGGTTAAATTAAATGTAGACAGTAAGGTATCAAATTGCTGCTTTTTTTTACAGTTGTTATCTAGGTAGTTTATATTGAGGTCCCCACATATAATAAAATTTATATTTACATTATATAGATTATTCAGAATATTTTCAATCATCTTCAAAAACCACTGGAAATTCCCATCAGGAGACCTATAGATAGATATAACACAGATGATAGAAGTTGATAAGTTAATTTTTATGGCACAAACTTCAATGTCTTGTTCCTTGCAAAATTCTTGTAAATTAATAGTTATAAAACTTATAAATTCATGAATAAAAATGCATGTTCCACCATCTTTTAATTTTTCTCTACAGAATTTTGCTCCTAACTTATAATGTTCTATTGGTGAGCTTTCCAGTTCAAATTCCCTTAAATGGTGTTCCGTTATGCATAAAATATGAGGGAGTTCCGGGAGTAGTGAGTTTAACATTTCAGTTCTTTTGTTTCTCAGTCCCCTAATATTTTGATGGTATATCATTATATTGTCGTCTGCTTTATTAAGTTCTAAATTATTATGCCCTATCTGGGGTTTAAATTTTATATGTGAGGTATTGTGAACGTTGTTTACCATAAAAAATCATTATTCCTAATCACAGGAACTTTTTTCCGCCTATTTGATGTCCTAGGAGGAGTTACTTCAGAAATTATTGTTTCCTCATGGATGAAATTACTATTTCTTTTTTCTGGGGATTGAGTTCTGTTTCCCAATGCATCAATAGATTCTCCCTTTATTTGACCATTTTTCCATCCCAGACTAATTACACCATCATCTTTTTTCCCCAAAATATTGGGCAGTTGGGCTACTATTTGTTTTGCAATCATTTCTTTTCCTTTCCCATTTAGATGCAAACCATGTTTAGTAAATAGTTCCCTGGTGGGATTAACTTCGAGGACCATAGTATACTTGCTAATTTTTACTTGTTTCTTTAACTTCCTATTGAAGGATTTGATTTCATTATTCACACAAGAGAAGTCCACCAGATCATGTCTATGGGGAGCACTTAATATTATGAAATTTGTGTGATTGTTTGTTTCTACAAAGCTTATGATCTGATTTAAAGCTATTTTAGCCATATTCTTATTTACTTCATAGGAGCCACCACAGAACACAACCACATCACTTTTTGTTAGCTTTGCTATGTCACTCATTCCTGCTTTCACTATTTTCTCAGTTCCTGCACCAGGTTTGACGAAACCAATTACTTCAAAGTTCTTGTCCAATTGGTGCTTCACTTCTTTTGCCAAGCTTCTTGAGTGACTACCACCTATAATTACTATCTTTTGATTTCTTTTATTTCCAACCTTTTTATTATGTTTATCCAATGTGTCCTTACAAGCCGTGATTGTACTTGATCATTTTGAAGGATCCATCATTTTTCCTTGAGTGGATTGTTGTACCTTCTGCTTCTTTACCCCAATTCTTCCGGTCATTTCCTCGGAAATATCTACTCCAGCATTATTCTCATTGAGGTTAGGTAGGGAAGCAAAGCGATTTGTAATCGTTGGTATTGGCTGGATAACATGTTTATGTTGTTTATTGCTTCTATTTCTTCTGCTGTTTGATACATTTGTCCAGTTATCAGGTTTGAAACCGGAATGATTATATTCCGAGCCCTGGTTTAAATCATGCGTAACTGAGTCTGTTTTAGTGTTTCTTTCTTCTTGTAATAACTTTATAATTTCTCTGGCCGAATAAAGTTCCAAAAGCACTTCTTCATACTTCATTTTGTTTTGGTAGCAACAATTACATACATTATCAGTAAGAACTTCTGCCGAAACGATGGAAACTGGAGCCGCTAACAAACCGTAAGTCTCAGTATCCGCCATATTTAACACATGAGCTGAAAGAGTGTGTTTGGATATAAAAAAGTAGATGAGAGATTTAAGGTACCATCCCATAATTTGTCTGAGTGGACTAAGAAAAAACATGAAAAACTTGAGTAAGAACAGGTAGTCCTAGGCTGAGATTTAAACAAGCCCCTTTCTGAAGGTAGAAAAAGCATTACCACTGAATCAACTACTTTGTCCTACTGTAACAGAATATTTCACTATGCTAGGTGCACAATAATACATAAAAAATGGGCCTGTTTTGTGGAAACTAATTCAAATCATTCTAAGGAGTTACATAGGCTGAATCCTAGCCAGATGACTGGATATTCTTGTAGAAGTATACTCCTTTACTCCCATTAACAGTTAGCCTTGCATCTCATCTTAATGCAGCTGATAAAGGTAAAGCTGTCCCTGTGTGTAACTAACTAAGCACTATGTCATGAAAGCGTATGGGGAGTGGACATATACATCCACATTTTCTTGACCTTGGCAATAGCTGGATGTGAGTGGTCAGCTTCATCCCTGGGGAAAGAGCCCCTGGTACCCACTAGATAGGAGGTTGGGTGGACCTCAGAACTGGTCGGGATGATGTGGAGGAGAGAAAATTTTTCACCCCACCGGGACTCCAATCCCTTGGTCATCCAGCCCGTAGCCAGTTGCTATTCATTCATTCATTCATTCATTCATTTATTGTATATTCCATAAATATACTGACTGCACTATCCCAGCTCTTAATGCAGCTGATAGTATCCTGAAATAACATACTAATCAAGAATATATTGTCATGTGTTGGGTGTATAACGCTACAAATAACTTTACGTTGTATTGAATATAGCGAATTTATTGCACATTCGCTCTTACAATCACACAATTTACAATCTCAATATTAATGCCATTGGCAGTATCACAAATTAGCACATAAAATCTTCTAACCACGCGTTCGGGTCTTCTTCCCGCGACTGCTGCTATATTTCAACTGTCTTCAGCGACGGCTACACTTTAACTGACTCCTTAGGCAGTGCAGTTCTCTTATAAACCCTCAGCAAGACAACGGAAAAACTCCTCGCTTCCTTGTTGCCTAGTCACCGTGTATACAAAGGCGTTGTTGGGAAACACTGCGGAGAGCTGTTTACTGCTGCATAGCAACCGCGGCTTCCCCCACTATATCACCGTGGGGGAGAGGGGCAGACTGTTGACTGGCCTGTTACTGTAGTAGCGATAGAGCCTGATGTTGTTACGTCACCGCTGGCGGGGGAGGGGATGTCCTCCATAGTGCAATACATCACAATATTTTCTTTTCACAATACAAATTTGTGAACAGAATTTCTGCACTTGTATCAGATTTGAGGTTCTCATGATAGTGAGCACTGCAATTATGGTCTTCTGTAATGTGATGCCATGTAGTTTGGTAGATAAGTAATACTGTTTCAGAAGAACCTTCTGCCTCCATCTTCACAGTAGAAGACAATTCTTCTATCTGAACGATGGAGCAGCATGTTCTTCTGAAACTCTATTACTAATCTACCAGAAAACATGGCATCACACTCTAAAAAATGGTAATCTTCACTTCTGTAGTTATTCACTGTAATTCTACCAGGCTAACTAATCAATAAACCCAAGTATGACAGACTGATATAAGTAAGATAGTTTGAAAATTTAAAATGCAGTATTTTCCTGTAATAGTATGGGAGAAGAAATGATTTACCCTCCTTCCACCCTTCAACTAACAAATCGTGAAATACACACTGTGATGGACATACTCAAATTATTGAAATAAATCCTGTTGCCAATAACATTAAAAATATAAATATGTGAGAAACTGCAAAACATAATAATGTCACTTTTAACTTGATGATACAAACCTGTAAATATCTATTGTGATTCTCACAAAGTAATTGTAGAAATCGAAGAATTGGTTGCATTACGAGAACCTTGACTGAGAGCTTATTCTGTTCTTCTTTATCACGGTGGCGTTCTAGCTTCTCTGCAAGCATGTCCTCTAGGGCTGAAGGGCCCAACACAGGAGGGCCGGCTTCATCCCCTGCAACAAAATGCACTATTCATTAAAAATTCCAAATGCACTCACACCATCAGAAAATGCAACGAATTTCTGAGCCAGTTTCTGCCTCCATCATTCTGAGCTGATGTGATGAGTAACAGAGCTGACCACTGTATTGGTAACTACAGTTGCTCTCAAGAGTCCAGTGTTCTGCCCAAGCATGGACTGCATAGAAGCGCACGAAGAGTCTGGCTGTCAGCTATCTGTGATGACCTGCTCTGAGAACAATTCGGTATGTCACGTGTAGGGAGGTGCATGTGATAAAAAGACGGGTTCTAGTTCAGATGATTGGATTTATTAACAGCTTGGTTACAAATAGTTACTATAGGATTCTGATGATGGTGTATAACACATAGAGATATTGGATTTTCGGACTTTATCCATCATCCTGGATTTTAAGATAACTAAGAAGAACACGATGTTTCGGAAACTGGATCTGTTTCCATCCTCAGGGGAGGGAAAACACCTATTCTGTTGGGTCCCTTAGAAAGAGCTAGCCTCAATCAGTCATCCAGTGATTGAGGACGGAAACAGATCCAGTTTCCGAAACATCGTGTTCTTCTTAGTTATCTTAAAATCCAGGATGATGGATAAAGTCCAAAAACCCAATATCTTTGGTTACATATGTTACCTATGTCATGCATCACATCAACTCCTGATGAAGGAGGCAGAGATAGTCTCTTAAACATCGGATATTAACTCAATTTTCTCAATACTGATTGTGTGAGGATACTACTACATACACTAATCAAGTTTCTTAAATATCTGTCAGATTGATTTTGACAGTGATTCGAACTACATATATTAATGTGAAGATTTACTTGAATTGCTGCATTCTATTTCAGCTCAGTTACTGTGCCAGTTTATCAGGCAAGTCTTGCAAGAGGAACTGTCGGTGTGTAGCATCCATAGCCAGGTCAAACTTTCATATTGTAGACTTGTGGGTTATGACACCGTATAGCCTGGTAGGTGAGTACAAATATTTCAGAGGAACATCTCGCTCACTCACTCAAGAAACCAAGCCCTCCTTGAGAAGACACCAATTTTGTAGCTACTCAAGAACTTCCCATTATTTTATGGAACCCAAGGGTTCATTACCATGTTCACAAGAACCCTCCACTGGCCCCTGTCCTGAGCCAGATCAATCCAATCCATACCATCCCATCCCAACTCTCTATGATCAATAAATTTTAATCTTGTACACCCACCTATTCTTGGTCTTTCTAGTGGTCTATTTCTTTCAGGCTTTCCCAGCAATATCCTATATACATTCCTCTTCTCCCCATTCATGCTACATGCTCCTCATTATGCAGTTTTCTGTAGCTTCCTGTCACTTCATCTCTCTTTGGTCCAAATATTCTCCTCAACACTCTGTTCTCAAACATCCTCAGTCTATGTTCCTACCTTAAAGTCAGAGACCAGGTTTCACATCCATACAGAACCATAGGCAAAATTATAGTTTTGTATATTCTACTTTTTATATTTGTAGACGGAAGACAACAGGTTCTGAATTGAACAGTTGCAAGCATTATCCAAATTGAATCTCCTCTTAACCTTTAAACGCCGGACTTCTGAAATAGTGGTAAGCTTGAGCTGGCCAGAGTTTATTTAAATGACCGCTGCTGGTGCGCGTTTAAATGCCCGTTGCTATGCTGCGTTTAAATGTCCGTTTCTGTTAGTGCGCCTAAACAATTTTAAGCATTGTGTCTAAAAATGCTGTATCTAACTCAATTTTTATGATAAATGGATGGAATTACTTTTGTTTGTATCAGCAAAGAACATAGTGTTGCATATTATAACGGAAGATTTGAAATTTTTTATACAAATTATACTCTATTTTCAATTTTTTGTCTTTTAACCCGTTGCCGTGGTTCGTCGTGTATGTTTCGTCAGGGATTTAAATCGTCTGGGGGGGTTCGACGTGTATGTTTCGTTCAGCTGCACACCTATGTTATAACGCCCATAATAATTGATGGTTTTGCTGTAGATTGTTAGATTTTTCGCTGGCCTGTTGTCAGTAGAACAGAGTATAAATAAGACACGACTTTATCTGTGCCAAGTCATCGTTACATATGCCTGTCTTGCAGCAAAGTTCCTGTGGTTCTGGCGAGCGGTTTCTAGCTGTACTGTTATGAAAGCGTGTTTTCTTTGCTTTGAAGATATAAACAGAAGAGACGTGATGTTTACTGTTGTATATGATATCATATTGCCCTGAGCTGGCCACATTGACACACTCAACTGGAATTCTTAGAATA